ACGTGAATATACAATATTGTCCAGATGATCATTAAGCTGTCCTGCCTTAACAGTAACTGAAATCTGATTTTCTTAATCCAAAATTGTGCTTTAAACAAGGGTTAGTTCACGCAAAAAAAGTTATTTCACCCTGTGCCTGTTTCAAACCTGTATGAATGCTTTCTTCCGTCGAATACAAATATAATTTATATATATATTGTTCAACAGAATTAAAAAACTCATAAAGGTTTGGAACCAGTTGAGGGTAAATGGCTAAATAACATTTTTGGGTGAACTATATCCTCTTAATTTACTCATGATTGTACATTTAACACACTCTCCCGCAGAACTCCCAGCTAAGGCCACCGGTATCTCCATCTGTCACAGCTGGTGGATCTTTTCTGTTGTTGTTTGGGGCAGGGGGGTATCGAGTCCTGAGATTTGTTTGTGGTGGGAGTTGACTGAATGGCCCTCCATAATGATCCCCTACTTCCTAAAGCACTCAACCATGACCATCACCTTTCACCTCTTATCCTCTTCACTGAATCGCGCTATTTACATATGTAAAGTCCAGCTCCCACCTCTAGCCCTGGCTGTCTCTATAGGCTCATCCTGAAAGGAGACACTTGTCGTTTAGGTACAATGCTACTGGTTTTTCACACTTAGATGTAGCTTGAAAGGAGGTGTGAATGTTAAATACAGTTGTGTTTGAGAAGAGCATTATTTAAATCTACTGCACTGTAAACACCTAGTATTAAAATGCATTTTTGGACAACGCTAAGTACTGGTGTAAATGGAGTATAAATGTTTTAACCACTTCTAGATATAGTCAGAAGCCCAATTGATCTGATTGTTTTCATGTTGTAGATGCTCATGTGTTTAAATAGCCACAAAGGACAGCTTTTCTAAACATATCTGGATGCGTTGTTGAATAGGGTTTGAATTGGCTGGCTAAAAATTTAAACTTGGTCCGAAGACATAAAAGAAAAGTAAACAGCTCAATGTTCTCTTACTGATCCTCAGTTTTTGATTCTTGATTCTGTGGTATTGTAAGAGCTTTAACAATAGGCCATTGAATTATTTGAAAATAGTACACAATAATGTTTAACTTACGTTAACTTTTTACATTTCATATTAATCAATAGCAATGATATCTGGAAATTAGGAAATTATGCAGATTTAATGCAACTCCATGGCTGCTCATAAAATACAATAACAGAGGATATACAGGAATCAAAGAGAAATTCAATACCTTTTAAGACCTTTTATTAAGTCTCTTGATACATTTTAAGACCTTATAACCACTTTCAACCGGAAACACTGGCGAGGTTTTAACTTGCAATATATTTACTAAATATTAATGTAAGAAACTAATCCAAAACTAAAACATTATTCACATACTGAATAAAAATCTACTAAATCTACACATTTCAGCAGGTGGGCGCCTAAACTAAACTAAGCAAAAATAATGGTGTTGCCTTGGTAACTACAGTAAACAAAGCAACATGCCAAATGTCAAATCTAGAAGGATTCATAGATTTCATAAACTACACAACATCTTGATATTCCAAATTTAACTCAGACAAACTTTAGCGTACAACCATACATGGCATAATCAAAAAGTATGTAAATTGAATACCTTGCAAAATAGCATTTAAGACTTTTTAAATACTTTTAAGGGCCTTAAATTACTCTACATTTATTTAACAACTTTTTATAGTTTTTAAGACCCTGCAGACAATCTAAATAAAGGCCAACACTTTTTCTTCTTTTAATTTGGCATTATTTATTTGTTTATTCATTCATTCATTCATTCATTCATTCATTCATTCATTCATTCATTCATTTTAGGCCATGTCAGCAACATTGGCTATAATCATGGCAACAGCTATTATGTAATTAATATTTCATAATCATGACTATTTCTTAATCATTAATTGTAGAAAAACTATACAAATAAGAACAACACTGATCAAAGTCCCATAAGTTGTTTAAATTTGATCAAGAGACACTTTAAAATCCCTCCTCCCTAAATGCTTAGAGGAATGTGCAAGAGAATGATCACTTTTCAAATACTTTTTCAAAAAGGAGAACCAATTAAATGTCATTAGGTGATATGTTGCAATAAAAAAATATATATATTTGATGTTTTTCTATGCATTTTTTTAAATGTAGTAACATGTAATAATATGTAGTATCTAAATTCCAGGATTATTTTAACCATTTTCTCCTTCCATATAACATGTCCCTCGTATGTTGATGGTTTTATATTATTAGGCGTTATAATAATAAAACCACTGGGAAGCTTTAAAGACTCTTTTTTTCATCACTACCTAGATACTTTACAAGACCAGAACCAAGAATATCTAAACACTTCACCAAGATGTTACAGTACACATATAGATTCACAACCCCCAAGCCCCCCTTGATTCCTAAGAAACTAAACCTAAGAAATAAGAGTGGTTTTAGGGAACACTGATGTCATGTTCACATGAATCGCTAAGAGAGAAAGCAGAAACTAAGAGCTTTGGGCAAATTACACTAAATAAAGAACAAGAGCTTCCTTCATTGTCACATCTCTGTTTACTCGGCTGCCATCAATCTGTAAACTCCAGGAGATTTAACGGCAGACGGATGTGTCTTGATAATGTTACACTTTCCCGAAATGTCGCCCTGAAATCCTAAATCCCATTTTAGTGTATTTAAAGTGGAATGATTTATTACTTTAAAAGAGTGGCTTTAGTGTGTACAGTGATTCCCTGTTGCTAATGACTTGGTAGAACTTGCAGCTTTATTGATCAAATGAGCAGTCCGTTATTAAAGCATAGCATTGATGTAAGATTGTAAATGTCTATTCTATAAATCTTACATATGCAGACTCATTGCGAAAGTCAATGTATGAAGTGATAGTTCACCCCAAATTTTTTATTTAGTTACAATTTATTCTAGTGGTGTAACGAATCACAAATTTCACGGTTCAGATCACACTATGGTTTTTGAGTCACAAATTGGATCATTTTTAGGGTCAGCAAAAAAGGGAAGAGACAAATGTCATTTGCTTTTCGTTTATACAAAAATAATACTGCAAAAACCATTAATTTTAACAAATAAACTTAAAACATTTAATTTTAATAAAAATAAAAATCAAGAACGAACCAGCAGAAAAAAGAAAAATATTCCAATAAGAATTATTATCTTTACTACTGTTTCTGATGTATAGAAATCTAACATCTTGTACAAAATACAGTATCATATTTATTTTCAATAAATGATTTAACAATTCACACATAAAACTTTGTTCAATTTTAGGTGAATCATTTCTGAAAACCTATTCACTGACATTATTTTGATGGTTGTTCGTCGCCAACCATTGGTTATACAATGTAACTGCTACAACATTCACCAGCGTCAAATTCCATTAAACTGTGATTTTAATGTTTACCATAAACATCAGTGTTTATATCGGAGCTATAAACTGTTTTCCCAGAACTTCTGTGTTATTTAATTGTTTGTAACTAACTGAAAAAGTGTAAAAGCTGAATCTTGACCAAACGCAAATTTAAATGCAGCGTTTATTAGAAGGATTAATACACGTATGCAAATCATTATTATTTATCATTCATGTTGCGCAAGTTTGAATTGAGATCAAGATCTTTTTTGAATTTGTAACAGTGCAGCTTTACACTAAATGCATTAATGCAGGCTAAACAAACAGTGATAGAAAACACCTTTAATTAATAACTTAAGAAAGCATTTTGGTAGGTCCCACCACAAGTTTTTCTGTCATCATTACATTTTACAGGGAAGCCAAAATGATTTTATACATGATTTGAATGATGAGTAATTTGAATGACGAGGGAGGCGATCTCTCTTCAATTGTTATAAATGTTGGATTAACCTACAAATTAACCGTGATCCATTACACCCCTAATTTATTCAGATTCAAGTGGTTTTAAGCCTTTATGAGTTTCCTTTTTCACAAAACAAAATATCCAGGGAAAAAGATTAAAACATGTAACCTTTGATATCCATAGTAGGAAAAACAAATACTATGGAAGTCAGGGGTTGCAGGTTTCTAGCGTTCTTCAAAATATCTTCTTTTGTGAAGAAACTCAAACTTGTTTGGAACAAGTAAAGGGACAATACATGATGACAGAATTTTCAATTTTGGGAGCACTATTCCTTATTCTAAGAAGGATGACTCACTCATTCTATTCAGATTTCATGTCTTTCTCTTTCGGTTTGAGTATTGCAGTGATGTGCTGCAGTGTTACAGTACTGAAGGGCCATTCCCCCATTTTTTCTTGTTTTTTGTGAATGAAATGTGCAATTACCTGGGCTTGGGTTTCAACGGTGCCTGTTCTGTCAGGTCTGCGCCCACGACAATCAACACATAAACAGCCATAAACACAGAGCTGCTGCTCAGCTGGAAGAGCACAGCTGCTGCTGTTTACCCTGAGCGGCCCAGAAAAACATCCTGTACCGTGCCGTCTTTGAGCCCGGCTGCTCCCCTCCAATAATAAACAGCACTGCAGTTCAGACCCAGACCCCACGCATGCTGGGCGGTTCCTCTGCTACTCCTCAGCCAAACGCCAAAAATCTCAAAAAGCTGGGCTGAAGGAACACAAAAATTCTTATGTAAATGACCAGCTGCTAATATGTTTAGGAAAGACACATTCATTTAACCACAGCCAATGAATGTTTTTAGTGGATTTGTGCTTTGAAATGAAGAAAAAAAAAACAACAGAAATTTAAATGAAAGTAAAATGGTTTAGTCCACTTTTAGTGATGATTAATGGAAGCGATTGTTTATGATTTATTTTGAAGCTGAAAATAATTTCTCTGTGTCAAATGTGGCAGACTACAGCCAAGGACAAATCTTTGCAGTGACTGGAATACAAAAATGTTTATCTTTACTCTAGTTTGTATAGTCTTGTTGTATTTTTAGACAAAAAAAGCCTGCGTCATTTCTGGAGCTGGAATGTGTTTCAATAACGAACCTGTTTCTCTGTGTATCGCAGCAGTGGCATTCCACAGCCCGCCTGTGAAGATTAAGAAAGAGCCGCAGAGTCCCGGATCAGACCCCAGCCAGTCCTGCAGCCACAAGCAAAGCTTCAGCTACCCCAATGGAGAGCAGTGCCTTTACGCCAGGTCAGTCAATAACTGGACCCTGTAGATAGATGCATCTCACATCATTTCTTTAATGGAAGTGCATCTTCAGCTACACACTTTTGGTTCTATGAATAATAAAAAAAAAAAATCACAGATAATTGATTCTCATGAAAGTGCATTCCATACAAAAGTGAACACCCAAATCCCTTCATGAAGATGTCTGTAAAAGGTGCATGCAATGCTGACCACAAGGAAGTAATTTGATCATTTATGGTTCTGTGACTCCAAGAGATGAGTCCTCATGATTCATGTAAATGTGGTAGGAGAATTTATCATTTGTGGACAGATTTTGTGGTGTTATGATGCACACATTTTGGCACGCAATTCATTTAAAGTCTAAAATCATTTTCATTTGTTAAACAAAAATATGTTGGGCACAAGGATGCTCACTTCCCATTAGATTTTAGGTCAATTTTAATTAAGCATGTTCCTATTTTAAGAAAGTAAGTCTGGAACAAGTGTAAAAATAGTCAAATCTATTCATATGCTTTCCGGTTTTTAACCTTCATATGAACAGATAAAAATACAAATAATTTAACTGTTATTAAACAATCTTGCCCTGATATGCAGTGTTTGCAGTCCAAAAAGCATCCACACATGCTCTACAACTGTAAAATAAAACATATTGTTGACTTGAAAGTGTTTGTGTGCCCTGCAGTGCCTATGAGCAGAAGAGAGCAGCCGTGGCAGGAGCAGGAGGATCTAAGAGCTCATGTCCAGGGACGCCCATGTCCCCTATGCAGCATTATTCCCCCAAACCAACAGTGGGAACTCGGCAGGAATCAGGGTATATGAATCCACCCTCAGCCAGCCAATCCCACGCCTGCCACAGCCACAGTTACCCCATGAACCCCAGGTAACAATAAAAATAAAGAATGTGTAGTTGTGTGTAGTTTTGACTTGGAAAGCATGTGTAATTCGACCAAAACTATCGTTTTAACAAGACATTACTCTTAGCTAAAACAAAAATTTTTGGACAAAAAGCTAATTAAATACAACATATTCTGGACAAAAATGATTCACAGCTTAAAGAGGTGGTCCACTTCCACATCATATTTTAAACTTTAGTTGATGTGTAATGTAGCTATGTGAACATAAACAACATCTCTGAATCTAAGACGCATAAAGTTCAATGCAAAGGAAGGCTTTTACAGAGTTAGCTTAGCAATACAGCAACCGAAGTTTGGGGACTACAAAAAAATACATCCGGGTTAATGATGTCATAAACCCTTCAGGTTATGCACATACACCCAGCTCAATGAAGGGGCATAGCCAGAGGCACTGTAATGTTTTAACAGAGACTATTCCTGGGGATGTGGAGCTGATCTGCGAATATCAGCACATTATGTTAGCTGACCAATTAGAGCCTCATAGGGAATATGTCGTTTTTATGTTAGCTGAGTAGCTGTATATAAATAAAGTAGGATATATAAACCAAAAAATATTCTTTTTTTTATAAATGGAGCATGAGCACACATTGCTTTACACCTCATTAACACAACCAAGCCTTAAAAAACACTCTGGACAACCCCTTTAAGAAAACTATATTTCCCACTACTAAATACTGTATTTTTAAGAAAGCATTCTTGCATTATAACAGCCTTTTTAAATCTATGTGATAATCAATGCCTTATTTTCCCTCCCAGTTCCAGGTTCCCTTCCGGCTCGGCAGAGATGTGCCCACCATTCGCTTCCCAAGGCCAGGCCCTGCAGCGCATGCATCCTGCCCATGCCAGCGGAGGCGGAGGAGGCGGTTACCATCGGCAACACTCTGACCCCTGCTTGCCTTATCCTCCTCAGCAGACCTTTAAGCAGGAGTACATGGACCCTCTGTATGACCGAGCGGCCCACATTAACGGACCACAGCCTCAGAGGTTTCCTCCTGCCCATATGATGGTCAAACAGGAGCCCACCGACTACACTTACGAACCTGGTATGTGAGTCATCCGATGAGGCACAGTGAATGACTTTGCTTTGAAGTGGTGTCTTGATATTCCCTGTCCCTAAATAGTCAAACCACATCTGGATAATAATGTAAACCAAACGTAACGTCTTTTACGAAGAGACTTTGTTTGTTCTCTTCCGCATCCACTCAAACTTTGTAAAGGTTTCTGTACTTCTCCTCACTCCTTCACCCCTCCCCTTCGGCCTGTGTTCTTTCAGAGGTAGGGAGGGAGGCATAGGAATTTCATTGAGAAAATGGAGGGCACTGGAAAGACTAGAATCCCCAGCGGAGCGCTCGCGGGTGTAGAGTTGCAGCAGCGGCTTCCTTTTTCTGCAGGCAGATGAACTCATAATGGAAAAATGAGCGTAGCCTCAGTAACCCGAGCCCGTGCGCTGGTTTGGTGGAGCGAGCGGGAGGTGGAGGGGTTGTGTTGTAGCTGGGGGGCTCGAGTCATACACTCACAACACAGGCGAGCTCACCTCCTCCCATTCAACTTAGCGACTGACACAGGGTCGAAACACAACACTGCAGGTCTGACTTATCATTGCTCTGTGAAACACTACAAACAACTAGGAAACAACTAACAAACGATGAACATAAACGAGGGTAAAAAAACCCTAATGTTACCAGTTCAGTTGATTCTTTAAATAGAAAGCAGCAGGCTTTACTTGTTCTTTGGTTTCTGTGTTACCATTAGTGTTAACATAAACTAAAACTAGTATGAACTATTTTCAATCCTTGTATACAGATAATAATTACAAATAAATCTTAATTTGAATACAAGTAAGGCTGGATTAAATGTTAAATACTACAGCTGTGGTAATGGAATTATACTCAATGGTTGTTGCCACTAACCTTGTGGTTAAGTGCGCTGACATATAGCAACATTGTGCTCAGTGACCCGAGTTTGACTCTCGACTCAAGAGGTCCTATGCCGATCCTTCCCTTTTCTCTGCTCCCAATGCTTTTCTGTCTATCCTATCCCAATAAAAAACTAAAAATTAATTAGATAAAAAATATTTATACTCCATGTAAAACTAAAATAAAATAAGTTACAGCTTAAAAAAATAATAATACAGTGACAAAGACAATAAAAAACCTAAACATAAAGTTCCAAAACATAAACAATGTTTCATAAAATACAATAAAGAAACACGACTATAAGATTAATATGTGCAGAAATGTTTGGACAACTTTAGACAGGTTGGTTTGAAAACAAAAGGATGTTTGTGTGAGGATACAGTGCCATATCTGCGGTGGAGTAAAGCATGTTATCAGCAGATTCATCCCTGCTTATGCTGGTGGATACTGCCCAACTAAAGAAATGAAGGGGAGTTTGTATAGTAACACCTGTAAAAACACATGAAACTTCATTCATTTTCATTTTCGACTTAGTCCCTTTATTAGTCCAGGGTCGCCACAGTGCAATGAACCGCCAACATATCCAGCATATGTTTTTACACAGCGAATGCCCTTCCAGCTGCAACCCATTTCTGGAAAACATCCATACACACTCATACACTACAGACAATTTAGCCTACCCAATTCACCTGTACTGCATGTCTTTGGACTGTGGGCAAAAAGGGAGCACCTGGAGGAAACCCACGCGAACACAGGGAGAACATGCAAACTCCACACAGAAACGCCAACTGATCCAGCCGAGGCTCGAACCAGCGTCCTTTTAACTGTAAGGCGACAGCACTACCCACTGCATCGCCCCACATAAAACTTTTATAGACCAAAAAAAGTATTTTCTTATATTTTTGATTTGTAACAGTAAAATATTAAAATAGTACAATGTCTAGCTTTACTTATATTCAACTTCAATATCTTAATAATAACAATAATAATATTAGTAATAAATAGAAATATATAAAATAATTAAATATAAAATTATTACTTAAAAAAAATTTCTTCAAATCAAGTAGCACTACTATGCAGCTTATATTTCAGAAGAAATCCTGTAATAGCCGTGTTTTAGATGGAAAAACAGCTCTGTCAACTGTGACATTAATTTGATTTCCATGTATGAGAAAAGTGCTCGGGTCCCTCAGAGACCTTTCTCCCCTGTGACCTCTTATCACGGCCTCTGCCACTGCATTCTCCAGACATCAATCACAGCTCCACCTCACAAACTAACCATGTCTTATTCATAAAAAAACATACAAAGAGTGTGAGAGAAAGAGAAAGAGAGAGAAGTGGTACGATAGTAATCAAGCTGATTCTGGTTTCCTGCAATGCAATGTGACGGTTTATGATCCACTGCTTTTTCCTGCCTAAAAATAAAGCTGCAGACAGGTGATATTATGACAAATGACTTTTATAACAAATGGACGGTTTGTCCATGCAGCACTCAGTGGCAAAGGTTATCAAACCTGCAGATGCACCAGCTTCACACCCTACAGAAATAGTGCCTAAAGAGGACCAGCAATGATTAGCTCTGTTCTCAAACCTAGTCAGCTGCCTCGCTGCCAACTAGTTACACTGGCAGCTGCCTTCTACGGTAACATATTCTAACCACAACGTAACCTCACGATGGACTAATTTGGAATGTTCAACATACGCAGAAACTCACACAGCTAAAGCAATTTGACATTGATTTTAATAGTTCAAATTAGCCTTCAAAGTTTAAAAGTAAAGAAATTAAGACTGCAATATAGCAATACAACCATTCACAATAGTCACATTGCAGGCAATGTTAAGTTTGTATAATAATTTATCATTGATGCCTGCGATTGTATATTATTTAAAAGCATTCAGGCATGAGAAATTGTACCATTTGTGACAATAATTAATTTTATTGAATAATTTTTTTTATAATTTAATTACTGTACGTGAATACCGTTAGACTTGGAACATGCTAAAATAATTTTTCAATTGCATCTTTTTCTTGATTGTATTTTATGATTTTAAGGAGATGCACTCCCACTGCAAAATCATCCCAATAAATCTAATATCATAATTGGTTCAAATATAGATATTAAGTCAATTCAATTGAATTCATTTCGCAATATATATCGCAAAAAAAAATAGCATTGTCAGATTTTTCCAATATTGTGCAGCTCAACCTAAAGTTTTAGTAAATCCAGTGTGTTTATTTTTTTTAAAAAGTACAATCGTAGTTAACAACAGTCTAAAATCTTTCATTCTTTTTATAGTTGCGTAAAATAATAAATTAGACCAAGCAATTTTTTTTTTCTTTTTTAACATCAAAGTGCTTTAAGCTTGCGTCAAATTTCTGAAATGGCAGTTCTTTTTCCTGGATTGAGCGAAATACAATTATTTCTAAAGAAAAAGCATCTGCTCTCATTTGCCACATTAGATTTATTTTTCACTTTCTATAATGCATTCTGAAATTATACTCTCTATGAAGAATATATTAAATGCTGGCTTCCTAGGAGGGATCATAATTATAAAACTACATTTAGATATTTAACCAGGCCTTAAAATGCTGCTGATGTAGAAAGCTCACTAGCTTTTGTAAAAGAAGAGTTTTCACCGATAAGAAACATAAATATAGATTGCCAGATTACTAGCATGTGTTCATCACAGACGGTCATGTTTTTATGTTTGTCCAGCAGATGTGCCTGGCTGCCCATCCATGTACCATCACAACGAAGGCTACTCCAACCCACAGCACAACAGTGAAGGTAAGAGCACCATTTGTCCATCTACAACATGCAGCTCCAGTGCAGTTCTAGATTGTACATTTCACACACTCAAAGCACGTCAGGATTGGCCAGGACTGTGCGGTCACTGGCTAACCAGGCCAGAGGGTCTATGTTTCTGTTGGCATGGACATTTGTTTCTCTCTTGCCTAAAGAATTCCAGGGTAAATATTACTACTGGAAAAGACGAGTATTTTTCCTGGAGTGAAGAAAAATAATCCTTCTCTCCGCTCGCTGCATTTGCCGCACCATTTTGGGTATTTTCAGTTGTTAGCCGATCTCTGTAATGAGCCATTAGATACAGAAAATTGAGTTCCTTGCTTCATAAGGGTACATAACTGAATAATAATTATCATCAAGAGTCTACATTTCCCATAATAAGAATTTATAAATATTAAGGGAAAAACAGTTTCTGTATTCATAAATCTCAATTTGAAAAGTCAAACAGGAAAATGCTTGCTGTTATTAATTACTGCTGTTAATACATTAGCACAATATAACTCATGGGTTGTTTTTGTATCCACATTAAAGGAGTGTTTTAATAACTCACTTGTCTTGTCTTGTCTTTAGGCTACATGTTTGAAAATGATTCCCGTGTTGTGCCAGAGAAATTTGAAGGTAAGTCTCACTTGTCCAGATTTTTTTATTAGTATTAATGAGAGCTAAAAATATATATTTTAAGTGCTAATCTAAAATTACATGTCGTAAATTAAACTAAAACTGACCAATGCTAAAAATGTGCTTTATTATTATTATTTTGATGAATACATTCTCTCTCCATTGCAAATTGAATTGCATTAGAATGAAAAGTATGTAAACCTGAATTGGGTTGTTATTAAGTATTTGCTTTGTTCTCGAGCACCTGAGCTGTGTTAACTCCACAATTTGGTGAAAAATCTGACAATCATGTTTTTCTGCATGATTTGAGAGCAATCCAAAGAGAATCTTGTGCTTCAGCAAAAGTGAGAACATCTGACTAACTTCACATGATCAACATCACGAATTTGCTTATTTGATTAGTGACCTGAAAAGAGTGTAGATTTTGAAATGTTTCTTAGTTTAGAGAGATTATTTTTTCAACATTTTTGTTTTATTTTAGGATTTTCATTGTGGTCTTTAAAGTTTAAACTCCATTATGAATATTTGTGACTTCAGATCAACTCCTAAACATCTATAAGCTTTAGTGAAATCACATATTTGGTTCACATTGTGGCCCTATCGCCAGCTCAACTGTGCATGATTATGATAATAATTATGGATAAACTATGTACTAGTAACTGATTTAACAAATAATTTTTCTATGACTAAAAATGTAAGCAAATTGTTAATATTAATTTCTTCTTTATTTCCACTGAATGAGCACTCTGTTTTATGTTAATGTTAATAAATGTGTAATGAGCAAAATTCACAGTGTTATGCAAACAAAAATAGCAGTATGAAAAATGTGTAGGTATTTTATTGCAAAACAAAAGGTGGCTGAACAACCAAACTGATGGCAAACTGTTCAAAACATCACTTCCTTTTTTTCGTTGTGTTGTACCCAAGACATTAGAAACAGACGTTACACTTATCATTTGATGTTGCAGCCATGTTGCCATCTTTTTGCTGTACTGGTTGTTACCAGCTTACGAAAAAATAACATGCTCACAACTTCCAATCAGATAAGAGGAAATGAAAAGCAATACGGTGTTTCACAGAGAAGGTAGCATTTAAAGGTTTAAAAGCACAATTGTTCCTTAATTTTTTTTATTTGTACGCAATCGACAAGTAGTCACAGGCGAATTAAACTTTAGTGACAAGGCAGCACTGGCCCGATCAGCCCAGTAACGATTCTGTCTACTGTTCAGAGCGTCTCTCATGCTGGCCCAGGGCCATCGGACAGTCTTTATCGTTGAGCCTTCAACTAGTTATTAGTTATCTGAGAATGGCATACCTTGGAATGTCATTATATTTGACCAATCAGCATCTAGCATTTTAGAGAGACGTGTAATAAAGGTGAACTAATGTATGATCTCTTTTGCTGTGCTTAGGTGAGGTGAAACAAGAAGGGGGCAGTGTGTTTCGTGAAGGTGCCCCCTATCAGCGTCGTGGCTCACTTCAACTATGGCAGTTCTTGGTTGCCCTTCTTGATGACCCCAGCAATGCCCACTTCATCGCATGGACGGGCCGTGGCATGGAATTCAAACTCATTGAGCCAGAGGAGGTAAACATTAGACTTTTAAAAGTTCCCAGGAGGCAGAATATGGTTTTTAACCAAAAAACAGCAATGCCAATGGATCATTCGAAAGACTAAGAGGATGTTATGAAAATCAGATCAGCTCGATGTGGCATTTATTCAGCTTTCACAAACTACAGAGAGAATAAACAATGGGTTTCAGAGATTTGCTCGTGATCAGCTCATCAGTCCCTAGGGTCCAAGAACACATCAACACAATGCCAGTTTTCCATTAGCTGCCATGCATTATTTACCCCACTTAACAGCATAGTGAAATAAAATGGAGAATGGCTCCATTACCAAATATTACAACCTTCCATTTTGCCGGAGTCTAAGCACACCGCAGTGGTCGAGACAAGAGCGTTAACCTCCTATTGTCTGTGGTCAGTAGACGGCTAAATGGCATGACTCAGCAAACGATCATGCAGAGATGCATCCATCAGTTCTGCACAACTGTACGCATGAATCATTCATTACAACCAAAGTTTTACTATTGCGATTAGAGCTCTGTCGAAGTCAAAACAAACAGTCTGTTCCTCAAATGTCAGGAGACCCACAACTATACTGACTTGAGATGGAGCAACAGTTTTGTTTTGTTTTGTTTTTTCAAGGGCCCTCAAGTTGAACCTTGAAGTTTTTGTTGAAACTTCAAAATGAAGTATTTCCTCTAGGTATGACAACTAGCATTTTGCCCTGTACATAGTGTGGGATTTTTGGTCAGCGTTTAATGGTGATTTGGTTATATAAAAGGGAACAAACATTTTTTGTGGGGACTCGCCCTTCCTTCTCATAGTTTAGATGTCGTACAGTCAGCAGGGACCTCTTGTGTTTAGATTATGTCATTGCAATACGGTCCTTGCTTGCTCTTATGCTTTGAACTGTCTTTTTTTCATACTTTAGGTGGCAAGACTCTGGGGGATGCAGAAGAACCGTCCAGCCATGAACTATGACAAACTGAGTCGCTCTTTGCGTTACTATTATGAGAAGGGAATTATGCAAAAGGTATTGCTTTATTCTAATTTCTTGGTCTTCAACACTTGTTTTTTAAACTCTCTGATTGAGATTTACATTACTCTATATTTGGGGTCCCATATACTTCAAATATAAAGTCTAGAATCATTTATGTAAAAAAAGAAAGAAATTATTTAAAAAAAACTATTCAAATATAATTATAATTCAAATATAATAATATTATCTAAATTAAATATAATCCAGATCAAAATAATTTCACATTATTTTAATGCATCAAAGAGTTGTAATTGCAGTAATAACAAAATAACATGTGTCATGTGCATTACTGTTTTGTGTCAGGAGGGTTAAGAAATTGTTTGAAATGTTAAAATGGAGTTCATGAACACATTTGCTTGGTTTTAAATGTTCATATTTCCACATGTCCTACACTGTTTATACTAGGTGGTTGGACAGACAACGAAATAAATGGAAAAAAAAAACAAAATCCAGGAACCAAACCAGTTTACTAATTGGCAGACAAACAATTCTTAGGAGCTGGAAATCAAAAGATACACCTTCCCTTCAAGAATGGGCAATAGTACTTGCTGGAGGGGCTGCATTTGAAAAAATGTCTTCTAAGCAAATGGACAAGCTAAACCTATAATATAAAAAAATGGCAAAAGTATTTAACCTGTTTGGAAATGGAACAGTAATAAATGAGTGAGAAATATACTGATTATGACAGTGTTTATCCAGGTGGCAAAGAATTCTGGCCCAGATTTGGCATAAAGGTGGCACAGCAAGCATTCATCGGGCAGTGTTTTGGCAGAGGTGGCACGTCTTTAAGGCAGCACAAAATACTTGGGCCAGATATCAAATATAGTATTAGGCCCAAATGCTAATAATGGATATGTGGACCAAGTAAGTTTGGCCTGTCTTGACTCTTGACCCAGATTTAAAATATTTTTTTAATTATTTTTGAATAAAGGAAAAAAAATTCTACCAATTAAGTGGCTTTGAGAAAAAGCATGCCCATAGTGCACCTAAAGGACAATGCTTCATGGGTTATGCAGTCATGACACACCAACATATCTGGCTCAGTTCAGGCCCAGTTATGGGTTATTAACTTGGCTGAGACTTGGCTCAGATATGGTCCATGTTTGGCCCTTGTCTGGAAGCCAGACTTAGTCTAGTCATACACTGTAATTTACCGTGGCATGTGAACCAAGCAAAAGCTGATTGTGTGAGCCAGAGCTGGGCCAGAGATATTTTCTCTTCACTATATAAAAGATGGAGGCTGTACATTTATTTTAATGATAGCCAAGCTGGGAGCTCAAAGTCGTAGTTAGGCATTAGTTTGGGTTGGGTTTGTTAATAGGGTAAAATGTTGATTTTTTTACAGATGTGATCTGTATTTTATTCTGAAATTTGCCCGAGAATCAATGAAACTGTTAATCTCTGAAATGTTAGAATGGGTTTGGCATCCCAAACTGAGCATGATGTTTACTACTATATTATTTATTATTATTTAATTCTTGCCATTATTATTTTTGCAGGTGGCTGGTGAGCGTTATGTTTACAAATTTGTGTGTGAGCCAGAAGCTTTGATATCCTTGGCTTTTCCCGACAATCAGCGGCCAAGTCTGAAGGCGGAATTTGAGCGCTACGTCAACGAGGAGGACACTGTGCCACTGTCCCACCTCGATGAGGGAGTTTCTTACCCTCCCGAACCAGCTGCCACCAACATGGGCCCTCAGCCCTACTCCAAAGGCTACATGTACTAATGCCACCGACATTCTCCTTTGTTTCCCATCCCAGTTTACCACCCGCTGCACCTATTGCACATGCCCACCCCATCCTCTTGTATATAAGGCTATGTTTTATGTTTTTGTTTTGATTAAATTAATCTCATTAGGGACTCTGCATTCCTCTCACTTCTGAGGCCTATCTAATCTAAACACAATACTGTGGTTCAAGAGATTGCTTAATAAAACCCAATATTACTACTATAAAACGACAACAGTCTCTGTTTCTTATGTGTTTGGTGCATTTACTTGTGAGTCAATAATGTAATATACAAGAGTGGAAGTAAATAAAAAAAGTATAAATCTGACAGTATTACTTTTCTTCATACAGAATGTGTATGTAATGTATTTAACAAACATGATGTGATATCGTTAGAATAATATGATAAGAGCAGACATATTAACAAATAAGCAGTAATAATTTTTTCTAAAATAATAATCCTAAATTTGCGCATGCGCATTAAGTTGGATCGTGTCTTTCGCAACAGCGGGCAATGAAATAACTCAACACCCGAATTAATAGTTAAACAACTTTAACTATTTTGGTCCAATTTGCCTTAGCTTGCGTCTCACGTGCTATTATTTCTTCTTAAAAACACGTTGTTTAGACTCGACATGCCACATCTGCGATGTTTAGCCTACCTGTCAAACAGCAAACCAAGCTCTCAGCTCTCCAGCGATGAAATCCTTATATACACTCCGAAATAACGTAGTTTTTTCTCTTATTTTTGTCTCTTCGGTTTTTGGCTAAGTTACTTGTATCCCCTTCACTGTGTACTGTAACGCTTTCCGGTCGACAAATTAAGAAAAACACGCTTCACGTACGTACCACGTTCAACTTTCGCGCGGTAAGCTTCAGTCTGTACATGGTCCATATATGGGCAGTGCAATTTGATTGGCTAAAAGAATAAACATCTGACTGGCAAAAAAGAGGCACGTTTCAGCATGTCATTTCAGTTATTATTTTTACATAGCATTTTATTATTTTTTCAGCCTAATATTTATAGCCTTTTAATAAGAAGTGCATAATGCCCAAATATAAAACCTTGATAATCAGAAAAAAGTCAGTGCAGACTTTTACTTAATTTTGATGACTAGTGTTGGGGTAACGCATTACGGGTAACGCGAGTTACTTAACAGTATTACTTTTCTAAGTAAGGAGTAAAGTAAGGCATCACAATGAATCACGTAGTGAAAGGGGGATTGTGTTCATTATTTTTAACGCATCTAAGAAAAGGGGGACTGTCTCAATGGACAGTGATTTTAGGCAAATACATTAGTACAAAAGTAGCAAATATATTGCTTTAAACTGTCTATAATCTGTAAACGGCATATATACAGTAGCTCTGAGGTAAGGAAGTTCTCAGATAATATTCATTCATTTTCTTTTCGGTTTAGTCCCTTTATTAAGCTGGGGTCGCCACAGCGGAATGAACCGTAAACTTATCCAGCATATGTTTTACACAGCGGACGCCCTTCCAGCTCTGGGAAACATCCATACTCACTCATCCACACTCATACACTACGGACAATTTAGCCTACCCAATTCACCTGTACTGCATGTCTTTGGACTGTGGGGGAAAACAGAGCACCCGGAGGAAACCTTATCCTAATAATTATAATATTATCCTAAAATATTTTTTAATGTTTTTTTTTTTTTTTTTAATAAAAGTAAATGAAGGTGTAGTTTATACAGTGTGTTGTTAGTTGCAGAACTCCTATATTTAAAAATATTTTCTACTAAAACTGAATTTTGAGTAGGGCTCGGGATATTAATTGTTTGGCAAAATAAACATTTAATCAAACAAAACAGGATTAATTTTGAGCTGAATTTCGTTTTCAGCCAGATAAGCAGATGACACAACTTTTAAAACACTACCCTTTATTATTATCATTTTAAATGTAGATAAGTACGCATGTAATATTTTAAGCTCACTATAAATCAAAAACAATTCAAGAAGGCCTTTTTAAAAGACAGAGAGTTTAATTTAAGATGTATGACATAACAAAAGCAGAAACGATAGCAAAAAACTGCAGGACATTTCCACCCCATCACTTCCTGTAATAAAAGTTTTTATACAACATTTTCACAATGGTCCAATACACTGATCCTGTGTGCTGTTTAATTCAAACATTAAAACAGAAAAGAGGTCCCAAATAAGGATGTGATTCGTGTGTGATAAAAAAAAAGTAGTCGTAACATCCTGTTCACTTGTTTATGACCAGACTTCTGCAGAGAAACTAACTGAATTATTGAAAATCCTTTCCCTCTCAGCTCTTTAATCAACATCCACTGACCAGACAGATGTGCCGTCATCCGATTCTGTGACACACATGACTCGTCCACAGAATCTGCACAACAGTTGCTCTAATATTCTTGATAACTAATGAAAAAAGGACTGTTTGGCCTACAACACAAGGCTAAATATCCAATTATCATACACAAATGTACCCTAAGACTCAATGCCTACTGAAGCACATGCAGAAAACAGATGTATATAAAAATGAAATGCCTTGCAAAAAATAAGGGCAATTTCAATTTTTGAGGGGAAAAACTACAATAAATTTAAGCATGTGGTGCAAAAGAACAGGGCACATTATTTTCGAGTCTTTTAAACACATTTTTAGCTTCTGTCCATGTTATCCTCCACTTTGCTAGAAACACAAAATTGATATTTTGTTCAGCATCAGTATCAGACATTTGCAGTTCATGAAGACCTTCTGAGAAGATGCTAGCGTCGCCTGAAGGCTCTGGAGATTCTCCAGGCGTTTGGTTCCTCGTAGCGGTTGTAGAGAGGCTCCAAGCGCTGCTGCTTCTTCTGTTTGCTGAGGCGTGTGGGATCAGACACTTTGAAGAAAGCTGGAGCGAATTCTACAAGCCATCTTGGATCGATGGTGGTCACTTCCCTCATGTATTCTTTAGTGGTTAGCACAAGCTCATGGTACACCACCCTGAGAAGAAGGAAATAATAGTAAAAAACATGCAACATTGATACTAGCTGTGTAGTTAATACAGAAACAATCTCATCTTGTAAACGTACCATTCTGGTTGGCGGTTGAACAATGCGCTGGAGGGGTGGATGTAGACCACCTGCTGGTCTATGAGGGTCCTGTAACCTTCTTGAGGATCCTTTTTGGCTGCGTTCCGGAAGAAACCACTGCAGATGGCTTTCTGTACACGCACAGTAGCCTTACCGCACGATACCACATCCAGTTTGTGCCTGAAAACAAAATTTTATGATGTGTAATTATTAACAAAACGTAAAATAACTGAAGTCTAAGAGCTCAGAATTATAATTATTTGTATTAATAATTGTATTAATTCTTTGTGGATAAGAAATTCCACAATGCAGGTGTTAAATTATGCTTGTGTTGTTAATCGTTTCAATGTTTGTCCGATTGTTTTTGTGCCTTGATTCCTCAGATCAATGCTAACGCTCAACATATGTGGCGCCACCTGTCAGTGGTTATTGGATGCGCAGTAGGCGTTGCTTTTAAAATGTCTCTTTCCTTTTTTTGTGACTTTTAGCCAGTTGATTAGTTTCAGATTTCCAAACCAAGATTCTTGAGGTCACGTATTACCAGTTTTGTAAAGTTTTTTTCAATGTTTTTAAACAATTAATATGTGGTAAATCAGAATCAGGAAGAGCTTTACTGCTTGGTATGTGTACACAGAGTTTTAGTTAGTTAGTTTAGTTAGTTTTAATGACAGACGTCTACACAGTGCAACAAAGACAGTTAAAGGACAAAGACACAGATAATAAAGAAATAAAAAATAGGAAAACACAATTTTGACAAATATGTGTACAGTGTATTAATATATACAATAATGTACGTATAGCTATATTTTTTGTGCAAATAAAATTTTTTAACAATAAGTGTTGTTAAATAAATAGATGTACGTGTGTATAAATAGTGTGTTTCTCAAAGTGGGAGGGAATGATCCTTGTCTGTTTTTGTAAAGAATAGTGAGGTTAAGCGAAAAAAAAATTTCCTTCATTTTTTTAAAAAATGATTTCATTAATGTTTAATTAAATTCATTGGTTTTCTAGACTGATCTCATTTTATTATTTTGGGCCATGGGTTTCTGTAAAGTTTAATATCACTTCTCTTGATATTGTTTTTAAATTAAACTTATTAAATGCGTTTTCTTATTAGTTTTATTTTTGGTAATGAAAGTACTCAGCATGTTTCACTTCACTGACATTAATTCAATTAGTTAAGTGGCTTTAAAATATATGTCACCGTACAATATAAATGCTAAAAAACTTTGCATATTCTGCATGATAAAAGTATTCTTTTATTAAAACAAATTAACTAAAAAATGTAAAGTGGTTTAATCTGCATTGTCACGTGTAGACAGGTTGTTAGAGGCTGTGATTATGCAAATTGCCGCATTTTTAAAAGCTAAAAAAAATATTTATAATATTAAAAGCCTATCACAATCCAATTTAATTTAAAAAGCACAACCAAGCCTGTATAAAGTTCTGATCCCCTCACCTGTCCATGATGCCCAGCATCTGTTTGCGGATATCCTGTGCACGTCGGAGAGATCGGGCTTGAATGAAGTTCTCGTAACACCAGGGGTTGGAAAACTTGTTGTTCTTCCAGGAGTTATAGACAGCCAACAAAGTCAGGTGGTCTCCCTCAGGCTGGTGAAACTTGGCCTTCTTCTGGTCTGCCAGAGCTTGTTTGTCCTGAGATTGAAATCATTTTAGGATCAGTCTACTTGGATACCTTAAACTCTATGTAATGATATAATGTCAAGTTCACAACAAACCTGACAAGAGCATTCGAATCACATCAATTACTCTAGGTCAGTTGCGGGATGTTTTTCACCTCACTAATTTAAATTTTTTTTTTTAAATGGCAGAGAAGACATGATTAAGGCAAATTTATGCAAGATCGCAGCAAATGCATTGCAAAATTGGTCTCATCTGCACCGCTCTGCAGAAATTCACTTTTAATCCCGTGTTTGCATTGACTTTGTATGTAATCTACTCATGCATACACGTTTGGTATGAATTCACATTTGGTATGAAGCCAGCATAACTGTGCTTAGTGCACTACACATAGAAATGTGTGTGAGCTAAAATAGTACCTTTGGTCTGTAGAAGACATTCTGTACTGAAAGCATTGACACAATGGTCAGCATCTCTTCACTGCAGCCAAGATGGACAGACATGATCAACATCTTACAAAGCATGGGCTC